GGTTAATTCTCCCTAAATTGAAGCGGTGACTCTTTAAAAACACCACTTCAATTTAGGGTGAAGTATACCTCCATGGCGTGCACACAAGGCTCAGACCCGACCCTTACCTGCCTCTCTGCTGGCGGGCCAAGTTGTCCCTGAGCTGGGGGGGAGGGGTTGGTGCTTCCCTCCGTGGCAGCGGTGGCAGCCCCCATGTGGCACCTGCCCATAAGCACCCAGCTTGAGCAGTCCTAAAGGGCACTACAGCTGTGGAGGGAAGCACCGGGCCCCTGCGCAGCTCAGGCAGGCTCTGAGAAAAAAAAAAAATCAGGTTCACCACTTTTTTTTTTTTCCTTTAGTAGAGCCTGCCTGCACAGGCTGGGGCCCAGCTGCCTGCACAGCCCCTGAGATGCATAGGTTCTGGTGCCTCCCTCTGCGGCAAACTAAACCACCTTGGAGATGTTTTATTTTGCTGCGTCCCAAAGTCATTTAACATGCATTACGCCACTGACACGTGCAAACAGCCCGCCATTAAAGCGCATTATGCTGCCAACATGTGCAAACAGCTGCACCATTAAAGAGGTTCAAAATGGCATTAAGCTGCTTTAAAGGCCAATTTTGTGGTGTGTACAAATGGCCAAGGAAACCAGAGAGAAAAGTATCCAATTCCTCCTCAGCCATCTCACTAAATCTATTAAGCTTTCTTTATTGACCGCATACAGCACAGTACATGCTGCTCTTCTAGATGCATTTCAATCTATACTTTGATTCTTTCACCCCAGTACTCTAGTTTCAGTCCATCTTGACCGACTGTCAGTACAGTTGCAAACTCAATTTGGATTGTTTTTGTTTTAAAAAAGCCTCTGACATCTCTATGTGCTTTATACATCTGGAGAAAAAAGCAGGGAGTAGCTCCTATGTGGTGCCAGGGAATAGGGAAATGCTTCCCATGTGATTTACAGTATAATATAGTCACTAGAATAAAATGGGAATATGAAGATTATTTAGCTCAACTGCTTGTTATGCATATGAAGGCAGTTAAACACATTAGAACATGACATTATAGTTATATTACAATACACCCAGAGTAACTGTTGTTTTCAGTGGAGTTAAACTCAGGCTGTGTACAGACATATCATTTGAAGTTTCAAACACCTTTGAAATTCTTTAAAGGGCCAGCTGTATAGATATATCTTTTGACAATGCAACCAGAAACTGCAGAAGCACTATAAAATATTACCTGATGATAGGCGGTGCTCTTTAGAAGTGCTTTATTTCCTATTATGGCTGCACAGCTCTATGGAGCAGAATAGAGGATTGAGGGTCTTCCAGAATCCAACAGGCTCTACTTTCCCACTCACTCCATCTTCCACAGGGGAGGGAGGGAGAATAGGGTGGACACTTTCACAGTCTGACTTACAACCTGTCCTGTCCTCCACCCTCATGTCAATGCACCCTGACCATTGCTCCTGCTGCTACCTGAGATCCCTATATTCTGAGGGCACAGACAAAAGTGACAATTTTTCCCTGATCTGGCCACAGAATACAGTCTATAGCCATGACCAAACAGAAGTGCGTGGCTACAGACAGCTTCAGAAATGGTTGATTGAGGGAAAATCTGAAGCCTCATTGTATGAAGGGTTAGATGAAGATGAAGACATTTCAAAACAGTGTCTTCTGTAATTTCTGTCTGCCCTGCCTGCCAGCCTGTCACTGTTTTCAGAATGGAAGGGCGAAAGGGAATGAAGGGAGTTTGGTCTGAGGGCTTTTCAGGCCCTGCTGGAGGATGGGGCAGGTGTATTGGAACCCCGCAAGATAGAACCCTTAGAACAGGGGTGGGCAATTATTTTGGGCAGAGGGCCGCTTACTGAGTTTCGGCAAGCCATCGAAGGCTGCATGACAGGCAGCCCAGAGCAGATTAATATTAATTTTCTAAAGTTTTTAGGGGCCCCGTGGGCTGGATAGAATGGCCTGGTGGGCTGCATCTGGCCCCCGGGCTGCATTTTGCCCACCCCTGCCTTAGAATGAGTTCCCTCTGCTCCCTTTCCCCCCTCCCATTCTGAAAACTTTGAAGCCTTGCAGGGAGACGACACTGGCCATTGGTAGGGGAAACTGGCTGCAGGCTGCTGTCAGCAGCTAGATTCCCCTCCCCCCTGGAACCAACAGTGAACTTCTGTTTGGTCCAGGGGTTCACTGCAACCAAGAACACTTCTTGCAAAGCATTCTCAGTTACAGCATGGAGCTGCACTTCCGTCTGTGCCCTGAATGCTGCTGCCCCCTCCCATAGAATGCCAGAAGTGCTCTGAAGAGCTCTTGGCACTTACGCTGCCAGGACCCTACCACTCCCACCCTTGGGGTGCTTCTGGGGCCCTGCCATAGCTGGGAGACCCCACACCTAATTGCTACCACATCAAGACCCCCACAACCTAACTACGACTGTAAGACTGTAATACCCAACACAAGGATCCTGGTTTTCCAGCTCCCAATTCCCTTGTACCTCTCTGCTGGGGGTTGGGGAGGGGGGCAGGAGGAGGGGAAAGGGTGCTCCTGGAGTGGGGAGACCAAGAAGCAGGAAAGCATTGCATGAATATCGAGGGGCTGAAGTGATACATTTTGCACTTGGAAGTGTTTAAAATGTTATGTCCATTTCCACATTACTTAGAGCAGAGTATACATAGACCATTTTGTATCCCATTTCTGAGTGTAAGAGTGAATGTGAGAGACAGGAAGGATATATTAAATTAAAAGGGAGAAGACAAAGAAAGCAAACAAGTTAAAAGGAACAAAATGCTGAGTCACAGTAGCTGGTGTTATGGACTGAGGGTGCTACTAATGCATCCCCAGAATACAGGACATCCCCTTTGGCCAGTCAGCGAGGGGGGGAAACCATTGGTCTCTTTGGCCAATCAGCGAGGGCGGGGGGGAGGGCTCCTGCCACCTTGGCCAATCAACAGGGAAGGGTGGGGCTACCACAAATGCCACCTCTCTCCCTCCTTCCCTGGTTGGTTCAGACCCCTGCTTCCTCTGGTTATACACTGCCTCAGATCTAGGCACAGCTATAGAATCATGAGGACAAGTGATTGACATATATTTCCACCACTGAACTGAAAAACAGTATTTTTGGCAGTCTGTTCCTCATTTAGAAATGGACAGGGGAGAAAGGGTTTAAAAACAGGATAGTCCAATATAAAATAGGACCAATGGCTACCCTATATGGATTTAAGGAAGTATTATGAACCAAAAATGAAACTAGCAACCATTATCTATAAATCAAGCTATGACCCTGCATGCTGTAGCAAACCTTGCATTTATAGTAGTACAGCAATGAAATACAATGGTCTACTGGTGGGGAGAATGACTGTTGGGAGCTCATATCCATCAGCAGTGGTCTGGAGGTCATTCCCATATAACAGAGGAATAGAGAAGAAACACTTCTGCCCCCACTCCTCCCTCCATAAGGAGGCAGTGGAACTATAGTGCTTAGGGTTTTATTTTTGTCAATGAGCAGTTACATTGGTTGTGTGAATCTACCCTTTGAACAGAGGATTCACTGTGGTCCACACATACTTAAACAAGACTGTACATGAGGGGTGCTCCACCTCCAGCCTGTGGAGCCATGGCATCTGGCCCACAGGGCACCCCACAGGTTGGGAAATTTCGCAGTGGGGGAGTAGTGGCAATACCCCCAGCCTCCCCCATGTCCAAATTCTTCTTCTGAGCAGCCATTGCAGGGCCAGGTTAGAGCCAGGCGATGCCCCTTGTCTGCCCCCTCCCCAGGGCCAAGCCATACCCCCTGCTCTCCATCACGTAAGCCTGAGTCAGGGCTAGGCCACACCCCTTCCCCCTGCAGGGATGGGTTGGGGCTGGGCCATGCACTCTTCTTCCCCCCCACAAAGCTGGGTCAGGGCCAGGCCACATCCCCTTCTCTCCAAACCTAAGAGTTTGGTTGGGGCCAGGCCATGCACATTTCCTTCCCTGCAGGGGCAGGTAGGGGCTGGGTCATGCCCCCTTCTCCCCCCACCCCAAAAAGCTGAATTGGGGCTGAGCCATACCTTCTTCCCCCTCCTCCCATTGGGGCTGGCCATGCCCCCTTCCCTCCCCCATGGTGCAGTGAGATTGGGCCCTACAGTGCCCGACCTGGGCACCAGGATCAAGACCACCAACTGGATCTGGCCCACAGATGAATTGGGCATTGCCCATCTGGCCTGCTGTGCAAAAATGTTAGGCATCACTGTTTTACACTATGGGTGGATAACCTGCAGCCTTACTACAAGTGGCACAGGCACCCTCTGTGTATGGCATGTGGCAGACTGGGGACGGGTCAGGGAACATAGAGCAGATAGGACAGAAAGCAGAGCAGCAGCAGGGAACACGGGGCATGAAGCAGAAAGCAGAGCAGCTGCCTGATTAGGGAGCACAGGGCAGGGAACAGAAAGCTGAGCAGCAGATCAGGTAAGGGAAAGGGATCAGAGTGGCACTTGGGGAGGGTGCAGGACTAATTGGTGGCATGCCTGCCATGAAGACTGACCCACACTACTGTACACTATGAGACACTCTTCAATGCCTTTGCATTTGCAGGTTTTTTGTAGCATAGTATCCTGCACTCTGTCAGTAACCATTTCAGATGGGTGCAATGGCTGTACTAATGTTCAGATTCAGTCCAAACCTCTATCCCTTATCCTTTTTACAGTACTCTTCTAATAGCTACATTTATATTAGCTAGTTTAGGAAAATGCCTAATAGAAAAATAGCAAGAGCTAAATAGATTTGACAAAAATAGTAATATGATCATAAAGGTGTGTGGAGATTTGCCAGAGTTTGTCACTTCTGAACTTAGTGGGTCCTGCAACACTGTAGGCCTAGAATATTGGTTAGTGCTATTTCAGAATCCTGGTTGGAACAAATTTTGGTGTACACTTTCACTAAAAGACTTATGCTGTGAGGATATTCCCTGAAGTACACTCTTCTC